GACAGATTTACTGCAATGCGAAGATAAATGGACGAGTAATCCGGGCCATGATTGACTCAGGGGCCACGGGAAATTTTATTGCACCAGGAACTGTGAAGCATTTGGGAGTACAGCTCCAAGCGAAACGAACCCCATATCAGTTGCAGCTAGTTGATGGACAATTAGCCGGATTGGACGGAAAGATTTCGCAGGAGACTCGCCCTCTGCGGATGAGTATAACCCAGCACAAGGAGGTTATCCAGTTCGATGTTGTTCCACTAGGGAATCAACAGATCATTCTGGGGATGCCATGGTTGAAAGCACACAACCCCCAGATTGACTGGTCATCGGAAACCATATCATTTCCGAGGAGAAGCGATCAACGAGATGTGCTAGAGCCTGCGAGGCTGAACACACGCGGTGGAGAACTGAAGGCGAACAGCACCACTGACGTAGGACGCCCAGTCCAGGGTCCTCCATTAACGGCGAAGGAAGGTGAACCTCCCGTACAAATGAAGAATAAGCAGAAGAAGTTGCTTGAAACCACCCCTGTAGAGAAACAGGACGAGACGCCAATACCGGTACAGTACCAGAAGTACAAGAAACTATTCGAAGAAAGAAAAGGCCATGAAACTTTACCAGAACACAAGCCATGGGATCACGAGATAGTATTGGAGGAAGGCAAGACGCCTCCATTTGGACCAATCTATCCAATGTCAGCCTCTGACCTAAGGACGCTTAGGGATTACATTGCCGACGCATTAGAAAAAGGATGGATCAGAGAATCCACCTCACAGGCAGCCAGCCCTGTGCTATTTGTACCAAAGAAGGATGGTACAAGGAGACTGTGCGTAGACTATCGCAAGCTCAATGATATAACGATCAAAGATCGGTACCCACTTCCATTAGCTACGGAACTGAGGGATCGATTGGGAAAAGCTAAAATTTTCTCCAAGTTTGATCTACGAAACGGATTTCACCTCATCAGAATGAAGGAAAGTGAAGAATGGAAAACAGCATTCAGAACTCGATACGGATTATACGAGTATCAGGTTATGCCATTCGGATTGACAAACGCACCAGCAACATGTATGCGCTTGGTCAACAATGTATTAAGGAAGTACCTAGATATATGCTGTATATGCTATCTAGATGACATTTTGGTATTCTCGGAAACGGAAGAACAACACATTAAAGACGTTCATAAGGTTCTGCAGCAACTGGAGGAGGCAGATCTTCAATGCAAACCTAGCAAGTGTGAATTTCACGTCACAGAAACGGAATTCCTAGGCTATACCATATTCTCCGGAGGTCTCAAGATGAGTCCTAACAAGGTAAAAGCAGTTATGGAATGGGAACCCCCAACCAGCGTGAAGGAAGTACAGTCCTTCCTGGGGTTCGCCAACTTCTACCGACGATTCATCAAGAACTATTCAAAGATAGCCGCTCCAATGACCGAGATCACCAAGAAGAGTCAAGGAGAATTCCGATGGACAGAAACAGCACAAGAAGCATTCGAACGCCTCAAGGAAGCATTCGCAGGAGAACCAGTCCTCAGAACATTTGACCCAGAATTACCAATAATCGTGGAAACAGACTCCTCAGACTACGCAATAGGAGCAGTGTTGAGCCAACCCGGCTCGAATGAGAAATAGCAACCAGTCGCTTACCATTCACGCAAGCTATCGCCAGCCGAACTAAACTATGAGATATACGACAAGGAATTATTAGCGATAGTAGATGCTTTTAGGGAATGGAGAGTGTACTTGGAAGGATCAAAATACACGGTGCAGGTGTATACAGATCACAAGAACTTGGTTTACTTCACCACAACGAAGGAATTAAACAGACGGCAGGTCCGATGGTCGGAAACCATGGCCGCCTACAACTTCAGAATTTCATATGTCAAAGGAAACGAAAATGCTAGAGCAGATGCTCTCAGCCGAAAACCAGAATACTTACAAAACAAAACACACGAATCACGCGCAATACTAAAGCAGGATGGCGACGCTTTAGTTCACAACAAACCACAACTTGCCGCCACATCAGGAGTAAATTATGATACTATCAAAGATATCATAAAGACAGAATACTCAACAGACACTACAGCCAAGAGAATCCTAGCTATACCAGACAATCCAGAAAGAGGATTCACCATCGAAAATGGATTCATCCATTTTCATGGCAAGCTTTACATACCCTCCAGTCTAGCTAAGGATTACGTCACGGAACAACATGAGCTTCCAGCTCACGGGCATCAAGGTATTGCAAGAACCTTTGCCAGAATAAGGAGAGAAGTCTACTTTCCAAAGATGAGGACTATAGTTGAGAACGTAGTTGGGAACTGCGACACCTGCATAAGAAACAAAGCCGCCCGGCATGCACCTTATGGCCAGCTCAAGACCCCCGAACTACCTACTCAACCATGGAAGTCCATTGCTTGGGATTTTGTAGTAAAACTACCATTATCCAAAGACCCAGTCACCCGGAAGGAGTACGACTCCATCTTGGTGGTGACGGACAGACTAACCAAGTTTGCTCATATGATACCATTCTGTGAAACTTGGACGGCAGATGACCTTGCTTATATATTCATGCGGAATATAGTTAGCATACACGGTGTACCAGATGAAATCATCTCAGATAGGGACAAGCTATTCACATCGAAATTTTGGTCTACCCTTATGGCACTGCTTGGAATCAAGAGAAAGCTCTCGACAGCCTTTCACCCACAAACAGATGGCCAAACAGAACGATTAAACCAAACGATGGAAGCCTATCTTCGCTGCTACATCAACTACAAACAAGACAATTGGGTTAAACTATTACCCTTGGCACAATTCGCATATAATACATCGGAAACGGAAACAACAAAAGTAACGCCAGCTTATGCTAACTTTGGGTTCAATCCATTAGCATACAAATCACCATTGCCACAAGATGCAAATGCAGACGAAGCCATAAAAGATATCACAGAAATCAAGGAACTACAAGAACAACTTTCTTTGGATTTACAGTTCATCGCTTTAAGAACAGCGTCGTACTACAACAAATCACGTAGTATGGGACCTACGCTTAAAGGGGGGGATAAAGTTTATCTCATTCGAAGAAACATACAGACAAAACGACCAAGCGATAAACTAGATCACAAGAAACTAGGACCATTTAAAATCGACAAGGTAGTTGGACCAGTTAACTATAAACTAAAACTACCATACACCATGAATATTCACCCAGTATTCCATATATCCTTGCTTGAACCAGCACCACCAGGAGCGCCCGATGCGCCAATAACGGAAATCGAACCAGTCAATCCAGATGCCATATACGACGTTGAAACCATACTAGATTGTAAATACATCAGAGGCAAGATCAAATATCTGATCAAATGGTTGGATTACCCACACTCAGAAAACACTTGGGAGCTCAAGAAAGATCTCAGCTGCCCTGAGAAGTTGAAGGCATTTCACCAACGCTATCCGGATCTCCCCAAAAAGTACCTGAAGAATTCTGAAAAGAAAAGGGGTCTGAAGGACTCAGGAAAGAGGAAGGATCAAAGTTATCCAGCACATTCGAACTAGCTGCAGCAGGCACCAATGGACCTGTATCCGCTTGCTCTCTCTCTCTTTCCATACGCTCATTTTCCAACCTTTCCTTCTCTTCAACTTCCACAAGCTCATCAAGAGTACGCAAACCCCGACGAAGCATATCAGACTCTCGCTCTAACAAAAGACGCTTCTGCTTCCTAAGCCGAAGAATTTTGGCCATCGCCTCTTCCTCCTCCTGCTCCAACCTCGCCTTTTGACGATCCAGGCTATCCCAATCGCTCTCCGACGGACCTCGAACATCGCACTTCTTCCCTTGACGAATACACTCAGCACAACGTGAAGAATCAGTTGAGGAGACAATGCATTTACGCTCCTGACGATCACATAAAGAACACGAAGGCATCTCGAATCCACGGGCTTCTACTAAACGAGCCAAACGAAGTTGTTCTTTCCTCTTTCGTAAATCGGTAGTCATAATGAAGAAAGAAAGGAAAATATCACTAATAAAAGAAATATGAGGGGGAGTTACACTATATAACGCTCGGGACAAGCGCTAAACTAGAAGGGGGATAGTGTTACAACGGCTATCTTCTATGCCGCGTCACATGACTAAACCAAGGTAACGTGATTAAAGTCACGTTATGGACCGCTGAGGAACGCTGGCTGTCCAGGAACGCTGGCTGTCCAGGACCGCGCAGCGGTCCTGACTAGCCATAGGCATGAAGGTCTATATAATCAAGATGGATTTCCTTTGTATAGAGCTTCGTGCTCAAGATCAATCATTTAGTATACTCTACTATTAGTTACGAATTGCATTATTGTCATTACTTTAAGTCCCTGCTTGACGCCTAGTTATAAACCACCTCGAGAGCCTAGAGCACTTCCACGTGATCTAGACGGCAAACCTCGTAACACCCAGCTCCATCGCTCCCTCGCTCCCTCACAAGACTATCCATGTGATCCTATAACACGTGATAATATTTTATAATGTTACAACGTAACAAAACCCGACAATTCGATCACCGCAAAGCCGATCTCGATTTGTCGGTTTCTTGATCATGTGATCAAGAACGTGACCTATGTTACTGTCCGACGTAACATTTGATTAAATAATAAAAAATAGTTTATTTTAATTATATTATATTATTTTTTATTCTCTTAATTTGATAATCTTATAAGACTTTGATAGAATAATTCTTTATTTATTAGACCTATACACTTAATACCAAGATATCGTCTCAATTTAAACTCACTGAAATAATCATTATCGTTATCTAGTTTAAGATTAACCTCATCCTGTACTTTCGCCTATTCTACCCATAACCATCATACAATCTATTCCCCCTTCGAACTCACCTCCTGCCCCCAACATTTTATCCATTCCACACCACAACCACCATACATCACACAATCTACTCCCCCCTAACCTCCTTCCCCCAAACAAGCAAAAACATCTTCCTCAAAACCACTTTATCAAGCCCCACGCCATCCAAAACCCCCAACCCCGTCGCCCCAGCCAAAAGCCCCGCACCGCCCACCCCGGCCCCAATAATCCCACCCACGGCCGCTCCTCCCATAGCCACACTCTGACACCAAGCAAAAATGCTTCCTGCCTCCACAAGACCTATACCTGATTGCCATGCTGCGGCTGCGGAGCCGGCGACGGGCCCTGCGGCGGAAAAACCAATTGCGCCGAGCACCGGGACTGCCGCGATAGAGGCGGCGGTTAGGAGGCCTCCTACTACTTGGAAGGAAAATCGGTAGGGGTGTGTTTTGATGTAGTTTGTTATGCCTAGTTGGGGGAGAGAGGATGGTTAGATGGTTGGTTTGTGGTGAGGGGATGTGAAGATTCCTAAGAGAAGAGAGGAAATAGGGGGATGGGAAGTATGGGGTAGATGGATAACTCAGAGGGCTGAAGATGAATAAACCACGAACCTTTGTCCTCTTCGTTCCTATTCTCATTTCCTTTATCATTCCCTCCCTCATCCCCTTTCCCATCCCTTTTATCATCCCCTTTCTGTTTCTCCTTCTCACTCAACTTCACCACTTCCTCTACAAACCCCGGACACCAACATACCAAAATCCTCGATAGAAGAGATAAACCCCACAAATCCTCGGGAAATTTCCCAATAACAATGCGATTCTGAATTTCACTCTCGAACGCATCATCTCCACGCTCATCTGCATCATCTATATCATGAAAAAGTGGATGACCCGAAGAAATCTCATACAAAATACTACCCAGAGCGAAAAGTTCCGCGCGGGAAATTTTCTCCTCATTTGTAGTTAGTCGAGCTGAAATGACATCTGGAAGTTGATATCGTGGTGAATATCGATACGGCTGTATTTCTGGTTTTGGTTTTGGGGAGATGTGTTGGTTTTTGATTAAGTTTTCTGCGGATCCGTCTTTGTGGAGGAGAATATCGAAATTGCGGATTTGAGTTGGAGGTGATGACTTGGTATCTACATTTGGATCTGGTGAAAATAGTTTTTGGATCGCGTTTGCCCATTTTGTGTGGAGCTCGTGATCGGATGGGGAATTGGGGTTGAGATTGGGGTCCTCGTTTTTCTTTTCGTCGAGGGGTGGTAGACGGACTCTACACGTTGCTCGATTGGATGCTGTCATTTTGTTATTGTTTGATTGTACCTTGAGAGTATAGAAATAGAGGTATCCTTAATGTCAAGGCTTCCTTTCGGAGACCTAGACGTCTTTAATGAGGGATGTAACGGGTGTTGGTTAGAAGATTAGAGGGAAGTAATATGAAATTCCAGAATCTGTAAGAAAAGATCGCACCATCAATCCTGGCTCGAAAGTAACTTAGATATGAAAGTAAAAGGATCAATAGGATCTATAAGGTATCTCATTGTAGACTTTCTCAAGGCAGCGGCGCGATATTAGTGGCTAGAAATAAATGCGGGGCTTAGTGTTACATTCCCGAAAGCTTTTCACCCCGCTTATTACCATTGGATGATGTAAAGTAGGGCTAAATGTACACGTATGACTGTGCAGCCTAGATGTAACATCCCAAAATGTAGTGTGACCATATAACGGGAAGTCACTGTCACACTCAAGAATACTGGGTAAAGTATCTTGTATTAGAAAATACTAAGCTAAGGAGAAAAGAAGAAGGAAAACAAGAGTAGAGATTGATTGATTGATTGTGTTTATCGTCATAGGCCGTAGGCCGCGCGTGCCTTGGCACGTGACAACCTTAGCCATCTATTCCAGTTTTGGACAAATGACGCTCAGAGGAGAAGCCTCTGAGTGGTTTACTAGCTAGCTAGGGGGAGTATTTATATACAATTTAAAGGGGGCTAGGGCAGGGTTTACATGATTGCCTTCGCAGGGGGGGTTTGGGCCGGTAGGCCTTTTGGGGTTGTAATTGTGGTCATCCTCGTCCACTAGATCACTGGCTCTTGATCTCTCTCCCTGTCTCCTCGTACTTGTTTTGGTTGTTCGTATGCATACTTGTTTTGGTTGTTCGTATGCATACTTGTTTTTTTTTTTTTTTGAATGAAAGAAAAGGGAAAGATGAAAGAGAGGAAAAAAGGAGAAGGAAAAGCACCCTTAGAGACCTATTAACTCCGTTAAAAACAAGAGTAGAGAGTTTTCCTGTGATTAAATACAAATGGGGCATGCCACGTGACCCGGAGGTGTGAGGCGTCACAGTTACAGGGAATAACGGCACGGAAATGACAACAAATGACAGGATGAGACGGGAATATATAATATTTCATGAAAATAAAGAATAATCAATTAATTTAAAAGTTAAATAATATAATATAATCTACTCTCAGATAAAAATTGTCTGTTTATTTTCAAATAATATTTAAATATATCAATTACTCAGAGCCTGATTTTAATAACGGCATTTCATTTTTAGATTTTCAACTTCAAGTCTATAGATATACAATAAAACTTTTCAAAGGCCTAATAAGTGATCATCTAAAGTATTCCGTCCAGATCAAGGATTACACAGCCACACAACTTTCTCTAGATTTGATTAATCTATCTTCAAAAAGATCTCTTTTAATAATATCTTGAAATCAATTTACTATTCAAACTGTAAAGCATTAGCTGCACCACTTTTGTAGACATGCAACAAAATTTTCCAAAGGTTTCAGGGGTAGTCATTTAAAGATTTCTAAAGTATTTCAGTCAAGTTAGCGTGGTGAATATATATATGTATTAAGATTGAGCAGGAATTAAGTGTATAAATAGATTTCGATTGCAAATTGTGTTTAGATTATTCTTACTGCTATCTTTAGAACTGATTTAGAGAGTGGTTGTCGTTGTTGTTTAACAAGTGTTTAAATATAAAATGACAATACATCTAGTATGGGATTACAGTTTCTATTATCACTCTGCTTGTCGAAGATATCGACAGAAAGGAATAGAATTTGAAGAGCGATTGTAGTGTTATACAGATTCATGGCAATCAGATCCAAGAACAAGGAGACGGAATACCCACATGTCTGGTCCTATGCCAATCTTTGTTTTAGGATATTTATTGGGTTTCTTGAGACCAGAAAGAGCATCAGATTGAATTGATTGATTCTCTAGCTAAGCAGTTAAGCTGCGAGTATATATTCAAAAAATGAAGGAATAGGCTTAGGTATTCGGCCTTCGGAATTAAAGTGCTTTGAAATCAAAATATTGAAAGCAAACAAACAGTATACCAAAAAGGAAAGAATGAATTAAAAGTTGAGTTTTGTTTGCTCCTTATATGCATCATGCAATATATATGCATATGCTGCCAAGATCCCAGGAGGTCAACAATATTACTTTGGTTAAAATTGCTCAAGTTTACTCTATTTATAAACTTCACCTTATGTTGTAGAAGAGGAATTACATTCTGTATTGTGTTTTCTCTTCACCAAGTCATATTTTGTTAGCTCCTTTTTGGTCAGGAAATGATTACATTCACTTCCTCTATGTACCTCTTCCTCTTCCATACCTCTCTTCTATACTATATCTTCCTTTCACTCTTCACTCCTATCTTGTGAATCTCAAAACTGTACTATATGAGCCTCATATCCTTTCCCCTTCCAGAAATCCAAACACATTTCAAACAAGGCAGGTAGTATGGCAGGTGTCGAGCTATCATCTTACACGACCTTACATTCTCCCAGTCATTTCAGTTTTAACTCCTAGTTATATTTTGCTTCAACTGAACTTCTACTCGCCTATCGTGCGTAAGAGATATATAATACCGCATTCTGGGTTTCATTGTTTGTGGATAAAAAGATTTTTTGTTGTTCATAACTCGCTATTGTCACTCATTCAACTGGTCGTCACTTTTACAGAATACAAAAAATCTGTAATGAAGATATAGAATCTAATTATCAATATTTGTTACTTTAATGGCTTTTTGATCAAAACGCTTGTTCAAAGATAGTAGAAACGCATGAAAGTAAACCTGCTGAATACAACTGCAGTACACTTGGGCTCTAGTCCTTGGTTCTCTATATCTAATAACAAATATTTATACTTTATTGAGGTCTCTATATATCTATAATTAGACATTTAGAAAAGAACTGATAATCTATCAAGTAGAGGATTTATACTATCATCTCATCTTAAGGTTCTTACTGTGAATTGCTTAAGGATTCTACTGTCCTTTAAAAGAGTGTTATATATAATAATGAGACAATATTCCATTCTTCATCTTCTTACATTAGCCGTTACCTTTTATATAATATATCTCACAGCAAATAGCAAACGAAATGCAATAAATCACCACCCAAGTTCTCTCTCACATCAATTTCCTCATTGAAAACAGTTATCCTAACTGATTCACGCTTCTTTGGTATCATCTCGATTCTCCCGCCCAGCGTTTTCTTGTTTCCACCCTTATCCTTTCCTTTCCCCTTTCTCGAATCATCTAACCATCGCTCAAATACAGAGACTGTATTTGCACGAATATCATCCCATAGTGTCAAGCCATCCATTGACAAATCTTTCAAGACCTATCTATTCTATCCTTTTTATACCCCCCTCTCTATATTTTTCTTCTAGCTCCGAACTTCCATGTCAAATCTCACTTCTGCTTCGCCCAAGAACCCCTCTTTACTCAACAGCCAACTAAAGTGTTACTTTAAACATATTAGTTAACCCATCTTCATTCACAATATCCTTCTTCTCTTTTACTCTAGCTTGTATTTTACCTCCCACTAGAAAGTTTTCTGTTTCGGATATATAGATGACGCTTCTTCGTCCTAGACTTCCTTAAGCTTCAGCCAAAAACCAGAACTCATTTTAAGAAATCATCCAATGGAGTCAGTTGGACGTTATACCAACAACTTTGATAAATGT